TATTGATGGTTATTCTAAAACCTATGGCACAAACTATAATAACTTTGATCTCATTTGAAAGATAATTTAATTCTCTTTTATTTTATTTTGATACTTTTTGTGCAGCAATTTAATCCGAGTTTATAATGCGTTTAATGGATACATATAATATATTGATATAATGTTTCAAAAAGAATACATTTTTTGCCATCGTTTCTTTTCTTACTTTTTGACATTTTTTCCGCTCAGCATGAGGATGGTTTTAATTTCTCGAATAGGACGAGAATGATAAATAGCGCGGACTTAAGAGTAACGTATTACGAGCACCGGCTAATTGCTAAGTACTAATTAATGCGGTCTTAAGCAAAGCTATAGTAATGAATTATGCTACGTCAAGGCTATTTGCAAAGAGGACAAAAGAACAATACCTGCCGGCTGTTCGCGTTTTTATCATCATCATTTGGGATGAAACCTCCGCTTGTTACTTGCCGTTGCTCAACTCATTGTGGAAATAATTATAATCACGATTATAAATGTACATTATATAATCTCTCTCGTTTGTAAGCATTTGATTATATGGCTTGCTTTATCTTAAAATCTGTTACGATATAAGGTGCATAATAATTATTTTCATAAACTGTTATATATATATATATATAATAAAATAGAAATTATATATATCGTGTAACGTGTTTATTAAGCACAAAATTTGCTTTCTATCTCTTTCATAATATACAAAGAGAAATATCCTTATAGTCCTGACGAAATTTGAGAAACGACGATAATTTGGCGCGTGCGGCGGCTCTTTTATTAAATGATGAAATATTCCATCGACTTATGACCTGGGGATGCTTTGGAAGTTTCGCTATCTAATTCCCGCAGGCACTTCTCGACTGAGAGAAGGTTTCGGCAGGAAGTCCCACCGAGGTCCTATCGGTGGCTAGAAGCCGCTGAAAGTTCATCGAAGTACTCAGTCGGGGATATTATAACTCGATGCGAGCGCGATGCCGGCAAAGTTCCCGAAAATCGCGGAGAAGCAATAACTCGGGATGGAAAAACGGCAGAATCGTTTCGTTTCGACGAAAGCTCTCTCTTCTCACGGTCGATGCCGTTCCGCCTGAGCCACCCGATATCACTCGGACGGCCAATTTAAAGTTACGATTCGCCGGCCATTTTCCTGTCCCCGGGGGATGGCAATGGTACTGGTGGCTCTCCGATTTGAAGTGCCCGAAATGCGGTTTGACGGCTATTACCGTATCGACTGGCTATTTTCGTTGATGGAGGGTCTGACTTGCGAATTTTTAAGATACGCTTTCCTGCTCCTTCGGGTCTCTGGAGATGTCCTAAATGTGACGTGTCGTATTAAGGAAACCCGCTTTTCAAAAATAACAGAATTATGGATTCGATCTCGACGAACCTTTTCTTCTGCAATTCAGTTTAATTGCGAGATGTGTCGGCTAAAGAAGAAATATTTCGAAAAATTATAATCATCATTAACACACTAAATTAATCTGAAATAATTGTATTCGCTATTCGTGCCATAATAAATTTTTTTTTGTTTCAAGCGAATTATATGTTCCTGGAACTTTCGGAAATATACGACTTCTCAAAACGGCATTTGCGAAATACTTTTTTACGTGCATATATCCGAAACGGGGACGGTGCACTCGAAACTTTCGTGGGATAAACGACTTGTGGTGTGTTTTCATAACGATTTCCTCCCGGACCGTCTCTCTTCGACTTCCATTCCGGAAATAATCATTCCGGAAGTGAGAGCGCCGAGAAGGGGGAGGCGACTTACGTCCGACAATCGAATAAAACCGTGTAGCTGTCGATGGGGACGGAATGCAAAAAGTTTTAAAGAGAGGAATTTCAATTTGTGTAATATCAGATATTTCGGATTCTCTGTCGCCTGGCGGGAAAGAGAGATGAAGAGAAAGAGAGGTTGAAAAGAGGTTTAATCAATTAGGCGAACGCGAGACGCGACGGCGCGAATAACTGCATGGCGGGGAAAAGTTTGGCGTGGAAACGTGCCAATGCTGGCGATTCTCCTCGTCTTTTCGTTTTATCGCGATTGCCAATCATGAGACTCGAATGGGAAATTATGTCGAGTGAATAAAGCGAAATATCGGGATGAACGCATCTAATTTCGCGCGCTGGGATAGAACCATTTCTCTCAGTCCCATTTCTCGTTTCGCGGTCACGTTCTTAAAACGTATTATTCAATGACATTATGACATTTCACATCGGATAAAAGCTTTATTCAACTTGAATACGCGTTTTAATCGCGGGGCTCATGTATTTTCTCCTAAATTTTGCCGCGGGTATGTATGCGCGCAACTCATTCATTCGCATTCACGTCGATAACTATAGACGCGTTTTGCATTTGACACGTGCATAGAATTCGTACTTTGACGTGGCAACTGTTACGTCACTCACGATCGACAAACATTGCTTTCACGTCAAATCGCGTTGGTAACGCGACAACTGAAAACGTTATTATTTCGAGCCATTTTTTAAATAGCGATTCAGTCGCTCAGTTTCAATGGATGCAGTCTAAAAAATGCTGAAAAATATCCGAAAGTTACGTAAAAACTTTAAAATATAAATACGCTATCTGTTCTAAAAATATATGTTCAATATACACACATAAAGTAAAGAATACATTTTTCAATTAATATATAAAAGCAGAAATATAATAGACTTTATTTAGAATATACATTTCTCTGTTGTATATATTTATTATATATTTATTAAGATATATAATATGTTTACTTATTAAAAGAATTAATCTTTTTATCGAATTAAAAAAATTTTCTATTTATTAATTTCTCTATTGTAAAATTCACTCAAAAACGCGTTATTCATAATAGTTAATAAAGGCGAAAATAAAATTCTGCGTTTACTGCACTGGGGGGCGAAGACACGTAGACAATTTTATCTCGACGCGTAACGAGGTTCATGGCACGCCAGGTTGTCGGCGTATATTCGTGGAAAAATCGTGGAACCTCGTACGTCCGAGCTCTCGCAGTTTCTTGGCGCATCTGCAGCGTCTTCGCTGCTTATGCTTTCGCATATATACGCATATATGTTCAGATGTATATAGGCACATATATACGCGTACCTGCAGCAGCGCGTGAGAACCACGGAAAGGCGAAAAATACTTTTTGAATAAATTGTCGCGTAGGAATTCCACGGCGATGCGCCGCACAAAACGCGACTGTAGCATGTAAAGCGAAGAGAAGACGGGAAAAAGAAAGGAAACAGGGGGATGGTCGATCGGTCGGTCTGTCGGTCGGTTCAGACGGAACGCCGGTGGGGGAGAGGGGTACGGAGTATGTCTCGTAAAAATGCAAACTTCTCGCTTCGGCGTCGATACTGGGCGCGAGAGGAGCTGGTCGTTGCGCGATCCGATGTTGTCGCTTCGCTTGCGCTACGTTCAAAAAGTTGGACGTGGATTGTGAAAACAGAGAAGAAAGAAAAAGATGGTAAAAGAGCGCGAGAAAGAGGTAGAGACGAGAGGAAAGTCGGATGACGGCGGGGGTAAAGCTACCCTACGCGGAAGAAATTCGCGGGAAGTTCGCCCTGTGCGTCGTTGCGAGAGAAAAAGAAAGGAAAAAAGATGGAGAAAGTAAGAGAAAGGCGGCGAGTGAATGGATCGCGAGGAGCGTTTTCCTGATTTTTCAAGGGGAGAGGAGAGACCCGGAAAAGCGACGCTAGGATGGTTACCGGGAATACGATACTGTTCACGTACTCGGTGGTTCGGAAATATCAATGCTTTCAAAAATGTCATCATCACGAACCAACCTTTACTCTCTCCTTCCGTATCTTTTTTCTTTAAAATGTATGTTGAATGTGTAAACATTTTCTCTTTC